TGAACAAAAGATGTATTGTGTTTACATAATATGTGAATAAACAACAATCTGAGTATCATTTCTTATGGGGTCCCAAAAGGCTTGAGTGAGTAAGTTATGGTCCCCACTTAGATTCACTTTGTGATCATGTTTCTTCCAGGCAAGATGGCTTGGATAAGGCACAAAGATGGTTGCTGAATAAGGGATATTGAAAAGGAAGTCTTAAAAAAACCCCTGAAGTTGAGGATGAAGAAATGGATTTTGATAGCAGGAGAAAAGGGGAACTGGATGCTTTGAGATAAGTAGTGGAGGAATTGGTGGTGGTGGCTATGTCTGGTCCTGAATGGAGATGACTCCTACTCTTCTGGGAAAGGAAGGGTGAAAATCTATTGAGTTTATCTTGCCAAACTACGATGCAGTCAGCAATAGGTGAGCTCTAGTTTCCTTCTGTAGAAAGTGGAGATCCAGTCAATGCTACTAGGGATCATGAGGGAGTAGTATGAAGGAAAAGTAGGAAAGATTTCCTCACCTGAATGCTCTGGATGACAAGAGATGCACAAGTGAACTGGGACACCACTATAAGGCGGAGACTGTTGATAGGTGGATGGGTCATTGTATTAAACCTTCACGGATGTTCTACCTGTTCCCATGTAGGATGCTTACCATTCAAAGTAGATCAGACCTATTTTCTTTTGGAAAATGGAAAACACTTTGATGAGTCTTGGGCTCATGATCCTGGCCATAAACAGTAATAGAGAGTGAAACTGTACAAAATAAGGTTAGAAGAAAACCCATGCAATATCACAAGACTGTGAAGGATCTGTACATGCTTCATCCCTAGGAGAGGATGATAACTCAGAGTATCTGGTCAGTCTCCAGCTTATACTGGAAAATGGCGTGGTGAAATCTCCATGAAATCATAACTATATCTGTATAAAGCACCATAAAGGAACCAAATTAATTAGTTCAGGGCTAAGACCACACAGCCTCAGAGAGGTTTCATTGCTCTGTTTAGCAGAATTCGCATGATGGCTCTCACTGGGGACTCACTTAGGTATAGCTATGATGAGGGCCATAACACATATGTGAGAGAAAAGGAAAGAAAGGGTTCTCATATTTCTGAGACTTCATTATTTCTGCAAGCTACAGCAAAACACATTTGCAGGCATTCTACAAGGAGTTATAAATAAAGAAAATTAAACTACCATCGACCCAATGAGTACAGCCCATTTCATGCAGTGTTTTCACTGCAAAAGCTTTCTGACTTGATAACTGGCAAAATTTGGTGATTTGAGGTGTGGATCACTGCTGATACGAGTAATTGGCAAGGGTGGAGGATATTATTTTAGACTGACTCATCTGAAAGCATTTAAGGAATAGAATGAAGCTACACACACAGAATGAATCAACAAGAGTCTGCTTTCAAATGTGTTGCCCTGGTACAGATTAAACTGGATTTTAGCTCCTCTGGAATCTGAACCAGTTCCCCTCAGAGTCGGGGGAAAGGCTTAATTTTTTATATACCAAAAACAAAAGGGATGGGATTGTGCCCTTCCTTGGCACAGTTGTTGGCAGTGGATGTTTTTATTTCCCCTACATCGTGTGAAAACAGTACTTTTCCAACTTAAGTGATGTCCATTGCAGAGGAAGGGTGAAGACAAACGGCCTCCGCTGGAAAATGCTCAAGATGATAACTCTTTTTTAAGAATGCTTCTGCCTGGGCCCTGCTGCAGGGTCTGCTCTGAGCAGGTTGATGGTTTACCCTCAAAAATACAAACCTGGCCAGGCACCCAAAGCTTGACACAGGCTGCAAAATGAGTACTATGTTTGAATTCTAACCCAGAGCCTAGTCCAAGCTCTGAGGTTTTATGCAGTACATCACCCAATGAAATTGCCTTCCCCCCACCCCCGCCCCGTTTCAATTAGAAAGAACATTAGGTCAATCAGATAAAGCCACATTGGGAGGATTTCCTCTTTATGGCGCTTGCCTCTTCAATTATCTATAATGAACTTCCTCACAGCACTGCGAAGCTTTTTATATGCAAACGAATCCTGTTTTGGGGCTGCTGCAATCACTGCTTGTTAATGAACTTGAAACAAGTGTTATCGGAAAGGTTACAGCACCAGTGGTGGAGGAGGATGGGATAAAACTAGACAAGAAAGACCAGTCTGAAGAGCTGGGATTGGCCTGCAGGTAACATAGTGGACTATCTCCAACCTCCATCCTCCAGCCCCCTTCACAGGCTTTTCTATTTGACAGACATCAAGCAAAATGCCCACTCTTGGGAAATGGCTGCTCAGTGGCAGATAGGGCTTTCCCATCCTCCTGTCCCACTGATTCACTCTGCCAATGCATCTCTCTCAACTCCTATAGCCAGGGAGAAAAAAAATTGAGACCATGGTGCCAAGGTCTTTTCTTATGCCAGGAGAGAGAGAGGGAGCTGATTCAGAGGCCCCAGGACATGTTGGGCAGGTGAAGGGGAAGAGTCAGGGGGTGTTGAAACCATACAGTCCCGGATGGTATTTACACATGGTGTCTGCTGGCATGACCAGAACTGGAAACTCTCACTCTTGTTTTAATAGAGCCTAGACCACCTCCTTCCCCTGCCCTCTGGGGTTTTATAGGTCTAAGTCACCCAGGGTTAGATTATGCCTCACTTTCTCATGCTGAGTAGCTACTTAACCCTGCCGCTAACCTTAATAATGGTGTGCCTTGATAGACTAGGATCGTTGGACTCAAGATTGGAAAGACTTTCTAGACTGTCAAGCCTTGCCCTTTTGTCAAGACAAACACTTCTATGACACTTTAACCATTGTGTTTCAGCATTAGTAGTTCCGTGGGGACATTTCATCATGGGGCAGGACAACAGCAAGAGCAGAGAGTGTTCAAACAGGGTGTAGCTCCTCAAGCACTCCTGAGGGTCAGACACAGCCTTTTTCCACGCTGGCTGTGTCTTGTCCATGATGAGGTATCAGGCAACTTTCACTGATCATATACTCAGCTTCCTGGAGCCTCCTCACACATGTCTACTTGTTGAAGTGCTGCTCAGCACCAGGTTCCCCAAGACAGCAGAGAATCACAGTGGTAAAACTCATCACTGCAATGCAGTACCACACGGGCTTGCCACCTCCAATCCTTACACCATCCAGCCAGCTTAACGTGATGGCCTATTAAGCCCCAGTCTTTACTTACTAAGTTAGGCCTTGGGCCAGATTAACCCAGACAAATGGCCACCTGACCCAAGATGGTTTACTTCCATCCAGCTCCAGTAACTGTGTCCTTGGCTCTCCTGGTTCTGGTGTTAGCCTGGGCAAAACCAATCGAAGTCCATGAGCAGCTGTCAAGTACTTACATCATTAGCATCACCCTATAAATGCAGATGAGAAATCAGGTTGTCCCAAAGGACTTTTCAGTCTGGCATCCCCACTAGGGCAGACAGACCCTCTTTGGGGACAGAGGAAGGCTTCTGGACTTCACTGCAGTGACACACTGGGTGGTTACCGGATTTTCTTCCTGCCCCTGGCCATGGATCGGCTCACACCCGCAGTGTGATGATTGATGGCTCTTGTAATTCTATTCCTGGTTGGTGTAACTACAGATGTTACATGTCTAATCCATTTCTTTATCTTCCTGATCTATTTGCTTCAGTAAGATGCTTCCACCATCTGCTCTAACAAGTTCCCAGGCTCTCGTAAGCCATGAATTCCACTTCTGAGCCTTTCAGTCCCTTTCACTACTTTCCGGTGCTGGATCAATCATTTTCATCCTGCCGTCCCTTGCCCACACCTACAGATTAAGCTTGCACCTCTTTATGTAAGTTCCCCGTCTCTGCTTGCACCGACTGGACCTGGCTTTAACGTTGGGCAGGACAGGCTGAAATGGTGTTGCTCTCTGGACTGGACAGGGTGGCTGCATCGTCACGATGTGCTCTACAGAGAGCAGGCAGTGTGCCAAATACAGTGCAGAGAAGAAAAAGAGGGGATAGGCTTTCTCTTGGCATCTAGATGTTGAAAAGATTTAAAAGAGGGGACAGCCAGGTGCTCACAAGTGATCAAGACAGCGTGGTCTGTGCATATGGCATGCTTATGTTTTGTAGCCTGTTGTAGTGTTTTTTTAAGGCATCCCATTTTATATCAAACTGCCTTGGATTAGCCAGGCGAACGCTGCAGTAATTTCCTAAAGAGCTGATAGCTTCCTGGAATACATGAATTTGACAGCTTGCAGTTGTCTGATTGTACCATGAAGAAGCAGTGCATTGCTACTCGAACTAAAGCTGTGCAAATTAAGGAGACTTTGAATACAGCCTTCTGCAGTGCAGCTTTGGGTGCCCAGACCTCTACCTGTGCGAGGGACCCACCAAGAGGCACTGGCTTAGCAACATCCACTTAACATTGCTCCTTTTGTGAAACGGTGGCAAGCCTTTCCAAGGATCCCCACACATTGTGTAACAGTTGTTTCCTGGGAGCTGGATTCATCTGTAATAAACATTCTGTCCCCTTCTAAGCCAAAACAAACTCTCTTTTTAACAGCCCAGACTCTGTAGTTTACAACGTGTCTTGCTGCAGCTAGCTGGAGCTGTGCCTTTTGTACAATGCTGCATTGGCTGTTGGGGAGGCAAGGAATTATGCTCATATTTTGCTTTATTCAATTCTCATGTCATGGCATTGTGACCAGGCTAAGTCCCTGGAGGGGACATGATTGCTTTCCCACTACCTGATTAATAGAGCAGGTATTAAAAAGCACCAGAGGTAGCTTCCTTGGGTCCGGAAGGTTGAAAGCCTGTAGTGGAAAATAGGAAAGGATGGTCTGTAAAGGAAATCCTTCCTCACCTGTTTATCTGAGCCTTCCCAGTAATGCTCCTTGAATACCTTTGTAATAGGCTGAGGCCCAGGGAGGTGCAAAGGCTTTGTAATCAGTTGAAGTGAAGCGTGAAGTGAGAAGGTTGAGAAGCATCAGAGGAGTCCACCTGGGGCTGGGAAACCCGTGTGCTGACTTGGCACGTTGTCTTCTCTCTCCGTAGGACTGTCCCCAGCTGCTGCAGGCAGAGAAGATCCTGGTGCCGGTGGAAGTGATCAAGCCGATCACGCTGAAGGCCAAGAACCTGCCCCAGCCGCAGTCGGGCCAGCGAGGCTACGAGTGCATCTTGAACATCCAGGGCAATGAGCAGCGGGTGCCCGCCTTGAGGTTCAACAGCTCCAGCGTGCAGTGCCAGAACACTTCGGTGAGCAAGCCCTGCGTGCTCAGGAGAGATGCAGGGGCCAAGAAGGACCCGGAGTGCCTGTAGCACTGTCCCAATGGGATCTGGGGTTGTGTTGCAGCCCTTTTTACCTTATTGCATACCCGATTCCACCCACAGTCGAGGAAAGGCTGGTTGGTAGCTTGCAAACTGCCCTTTTTGCTCTTTAGGCTGGCTGGTGTCACCACACAGTAGTTGCTTCTGCCCTTGGATCCCAGCATTTGGCCATGCTGGAGCACCTTAGCCATGACCCATTATCAGCATTATTAGGCATTATTATCAGCTTAATCTGCCCTTATCCTCACAGTGCCACATCCTTGTGTGCATTCAGAAGGGTTTCCAAAGGGAGAGGTGTTCATGTCAACACTGAGAATTAAGGTTATTATGTAGGGTTTTGGTGATGGGACATATAAAACTCCATATAAACTGTCTGACAGATGCTAGCATGTAGTGGGTCAAAAGAAGGGTGAGATGCTGAAGGCTTGAGTCTAGCCTTCCTCCAGCTATTGACTCACAGCATGACCTTTGGTTAGTCCCTTTGCCTCTGCCCACCTCCCATTCCCCATCTGCAGTGCAGGACCAGTAGCCCCCCTCCCAGTGAGCCTGTGTGAGTCGCAGTGGTGTTGTCACTGCAGCAATGCCAGTCTTGGGGTCAAACAGAGTCCAGAGTCCTGGCCTCTTCCAGGAGCCATGCATATGTGCAATGGTGGTCTCCTAGCACTGCTTCTCCAGAGGTTTCTCCATGAGATTCACGTCTCCCAGACATGCATTTGAGTCATTCTCATTGCTGCTACTACGAGATGATTTATTAGTCAAAGAGCTAATTACAGGCTTTAGCCACTTCACTGCAGCTCTGCCACTCCATGCTGGGCAGCGCTTGTTAAAATCCGTCACAACATATTCTGCTGCATTAAGCAGCGTGCTGAAGATTACAGGCAGTTCACACATTTTACGATCTGTTGCAAACAAGCAACTTCCCAATGACACTCTCGTATTTGTTCCTTTGTCCCCTTCCCTCCCCCTGATTTTCGTTACTGGTTAGTGGCCTGTGAGCATCCAGGGTTGAGGTTTCACAAAAGAAGGCATTGCGCTTTTTTTTTTTTTTTAAATTATTTTCCTTTATAATAGTGAAAGCCTGTGGGTAAAGGGTATTATATGGACCTGGACAGAATGTATATATCTGTCCAAAAATTCTTAGCAGGAAAGACAGCATCCATGAATTTTCTGGCACACACAGGCATCAGCATGAGGTATCTCAGGGTGATTTTAAGCACGGTTAGGCTGATGGCCTCGGCAGTCCTGGAGAGTCTCTCTCAGCATCTGAGTTTGTGGTATCCAATAAATGAGCCTGGTTTTGAGAGGTAATGGTTACTATTCCCGTACTACCTGCGTGCTCCAAGAAGTTGCTAGTGCCTAGGACCAGAGAAGTGGGCTTCGATGAATACCCGGATGTATTTGCTCATGGGATGCCCGAGTGCTGTGACAGCACCATGTTGATTTTAATGTTTGTTTTGATGCCAGAACACTCAAGGCTACTCCTGAGCTCTGCAGGGTGGCAGGGCTGAGTCTAATGCCAAGGTACTCCACACCCTTGCTGCTGTGTGGTGTCCCATATTTGGTGGACCTCTCTCTTTTCCAGGGAGAGAGGCTTATTTTGGAATAAACTCAACTCTTTTCTGTCCTGTTTTCTGCCTCCTCTCTTCCTCTCCCCCTCCTTTTCCCTCTCCCTCTCTTTCCTTTTCTTTCCTTTTCTTTTCTTCTCTTCTCTTTTCTTCCTTTTTCTTCCCTTTTCTTTTGAAGGCACTTTGCCTCTCTGATTTGAGTTCTTTTTTTTTTTTTTTTCCCTGAGAAATGTTGTTTCATTGTTGCTCTGAATTTGCCAGACACTGAGAGAAAGAGATGTGGAAGGGAGAGCCAGACAAAAGAAAGAAACATTCACACAGATACAAAAAGGGAACAGAGAAGCCCCGGCTCTCTGAGCAGGTGGCAGAGGGCACAGACAATAGGGAAGGAGTGCTGTAGATATGTCTCCATCATGATTATTTCCTTTCCTGCCAGAATTAGCATTCAGTCTGGAGCCACTGCCATACAATGAGCCTCTGCTCCGAGGGTCACCTGGCTTTAGAAACAGCCGCATGAGCTTGTTTGCAAATTGAATCAGCCCCCTTTGACAGAGCTTTTTACTCAGCAGAGTTGCTGGATGAGACACTGAATGTAACACCTGCATTGCAGGCTTGGAGAAGGTCCAAAGGAGGGTGGGAGGATGTGTTGTGATGGTGTGTCCCTGAAGGGATGCTATTCTGCCAGCAGATCTTTCTGTTGATGATGCATGCTAGACTAAGCAATCATTCTTGGCTTGTTTTCCTTCATAAGCCTCAAGATCTACCCCCTCCCATCAAACACTAGGCACTTACAAGCTCAAATTCAGCTCTTGCAGAATAACTTCTGCAGAATGCAGGAGTTTTCCTGCTTTCATATAGGGTAGGATCAGGAAAAAGCCTCAACTCTTGCTCTCCACTGCCTGGTCCCTCAGGATTTATACCAGAGTAGCAGAGATCAGAACCATCTTAAGCAGGCGCTTTTCTAAGTGGCTCCAACTTCAGTTAAGAGATGTTATAAGGACACCCAGGTGGGACCAGCCTGTCCGACGGTCTGTCAGTAATGTCATATCCAGCACTGATGGTGCCTAGGTGCTCGGTCCAGTCAATAGCCAGCTCTGTCTCTCCCCTTGTCTTTCCTGGAGATATTTCATTTGGTAACAGCAATAAGTCACTGCAGGCAGCATGCTTCGGGACAATTATTGTTCTTGTCAAGTGGTTTGAGACTCTCAGCTCTGGGCTTTGTCCTCTATCACACCACCCAAGGCACGCAATTATCACTCGGAGAGACCCTGCCTGCCATTCCTTATTGCACTTATGATGGCTCTGCTGACAGTCTGGACACAGAGTGATGGGAGGAAATGAAAAGGAAGAGAGCTAAGGAGGCATATAAATAAGTAAGCAAAAATGTCAGCAGAAATGGCTGAAATCGCTAGATCTATTAGGGCAGAGAGCAATCTCCCCAGTGGGAAGCAGTGGGATCCCCAGCACTTGCAATCAGCCCCATATTAGCAGCCTTTGGCATAAGGAATAAGGAGGTGGGTGAGAGATGCCCCACCTGACCATGCCATGATCATTGCCATTACCTGCTTCAATGACTAAGCCCACATTCTTGCTTCGTGTGAGCCTGCCCACTGCCTGGCCTCAGCACACACAGGCAGCACACACAGAATTCTAGCAGAGAAACCCCTGCTGATAATTTGCCTCAAGTCCTTCACAGGTCCGTGTGGCATGAGACCCGAGATGGTACAGCTGAAAATGCCGTGTAACTTAGGGATAGGAAAAACAAATGTTATATTTATTACGACACTGCACTTGAGCAAAAGATTTCAGAGGCACTTGACTCTGTGGTGTGGCTCACACAGTGGAGGGAGTGATAAAAAAAAAAAAACAACAGAACTAGGAGAAAATGAGGAGCTATTCACAGAAATAATGAGAAAACACACTTATGGGTGGCCAAAGGAAGACAAGCACAGGGCTGTGAGCCATACATAGAATTCCCTATTATTATGATGCATTATTGTTATTATTTATCTACATTCAAATATCACGGAGAAACCCCAGTCATGATGTGACCTCTATTGTCTTGGCTGATACCCAGACATAAAAATTCAGTTCCAGTTCTGGGAAGCAAAGAGTCCAAGGAGACGGGATGACTGTGGGCAAGAAGTTTTCTGCCTACAGTTTATGGCTGGAAAACTGATGCAAAGACGGATTAAATGATTTGCACAGCATCACGCAAGGAGTGGCTGACAGAGCCAGGTACAGGAATCAATCCCCAGGCCTGAGCTCTAATCACAAGAGTGGGTTTTTGTGCTGTCAGGGAAAACAGACTAACACTAAAATACTACTAAAATGATGTTTGTCTGCAGACATTTCCCCACTATTGGACACGCTCGAGGTACAAGGGGGAAGCACCATGTAACTGCTCTTGGTTTACCATCCTAAGTGTGCCCAAGCCGAACTACCAAAGGGCTTTACATTAGGCAGCTAATGTTTGCAGAGCTATTGTAGAACTGATAGCTGTGATTTTGCAGCCATCCTCTCTATCCAAGGATAGTGAACTTGCATGAGACAAACAGTCAATGTGTTTACAATAGCTTGCGTACAATATGTTAAACCGCTAAACAACATGGCAAAATGGCCAAGTGATGCTCAGCCCGTGTTGCAGGAGTGTCTGATACTAGCGAAGAGTTTAGGAGTCAAAGAGCTGGTACCTGGGAGTTCAAAACACACTGTGCTCTTCCTGCGAATTACAACAGCTCCTTCTAGCAGCTTTTTGGGTTTTTCCTGATGAGAGCCAGCCTGCCTTTCCAGAAGGGCAGCCTCTCTTTCTCAGTTTGGGCCTCTGAATTGCCTATAATTTTCTGCTTTGATTTGATTTGCCTGGTGGGAATCCAGATTTTGCAGACTTAGGGGTCAGATTTGTATCTTTTCAGCAGCTTTGCCTGGGCTGGAGAAAGTTGTGCAAGGCAATGTATACATACAAGCCCTAATGGTATGAATGCTCTTAGCAGGAGTATCTGGGAAGCTCTGTTGTCAGTCCTGAAGATCGATACATCGTCCCTTTTTTCTTCTCTGAAACATATTTCCATCTTATTGCTACAGCTGAGCGAATCCTTTTCAAAGACTCCTATTGAGTTCAGTGGGCTTTGAAGAGGGATCACAATGAGTTAGCAGCTCCTGTGGTCTGAAGAGGACGGAGCATTTACTCGCTGTTACTTTGCAAATTGCTCTGTTTCGCTGCCGTGCAGCCCAGGAGCAGTCTGAGCATCCTTCTTCCAGCCCCCAGCTGGCTTCATCCCTGGAGCTCTTCCACGGGGATCTTCTTGTTTATTCCCTCACATCCGTTTCCAGTTCTGGATCAAGTCTGCTGAGTTAACAAGTCTAATATGTGTTTGCCCCTGGTGCCGCAGACAGATAAGATCTAAAATCCCAGCTGGGCTCCTGCTGCTGGCGCTCGGATCCGCAGTGGGATGAAAGGCTCTGGGGGACTCCAGCTGCCTGTCCCTTGGCAGCCCTGTTTAGGCTCTGCTAACAGCTAAATCCCAACACACACACATGAGGATCTGCTGAGGCAGAAAGTAGTTCTTTCTCAGGTACCTACAGACTCAACTTCTGACTTAAGGGTGAGCAGTGGTTCTGTATATATGCTCTTTCCCATTCCCAATCAGCATTTGCAAAGCTCTGTGCACTTGCAAAGGTGTTTGCAAAGCTCCTGAGTGGCAGAAGATTAATTATTCTCTACTTTTCAGGCGCTCTCCTTCCCACTCCTGTCTCCCCATCCTTGCTCCTAGCTCCATAAAGCCATGAAAAGCCAGTGTTGTGAGTCCAAGTGGCTCTGCATCATCTTGCATCTTGCTGGCAGTGACACTGAAAAGTGTCATAAAAATCCTAATACGGAATGAGCGGGTATAGCCCTATTGCAAAGGACTCTGCTAACCTGCGTCTGTTCTTTACTTCCACGGTAACCACAAAGCTTATACCCATAAATACCCTACAACTAGATTGTAATCACAAGGTCTTGCAGATTAGTGGCTAATTGTGTTTAGTTTGTCCAAAGATAAATTACCGTGCAACTAGCGCTCACTGCTGTAATGGATAGAAATCACCATATGCGATTTACTCCGCAATTATACAGTGATTAACGGATACAGAAAAACCTACCTCTAAAGGCTCAGAGCTTTGGCATCTCTGTGGAAAACCACATGGAGACTTTAAGTGATGGGGAACTCTTTAGTGGTCTCTAAGACATACCCAACCAAACCAGACAGCTTATTGAATTGTATTTAATCTTGTAGTGGGGAAAACACCTTTTTCTTTAAAAGTGGGAGTTTGTCCCGCTATAGATCCCAGTGCAGTGGGAGATTCCTGATCTCAGGAGGGTAAATCCTTACGTGGTCAGTAATAGTAGCAGACATGAAATGTCTCTCTCCTTCTTGCCTTGTTCCCATTCTGTCCTTTAAGCAACCATCTCCTCTCCCATTAGGAGGCTTTTTGCCTTTTGGTGAAGTTTTGGATGGAAGCTGTTGATGGAGGTGGGCAGTGGGATCTGATGGGCAACTGGGTGAACCCTGTGTGAACTGGCTTATGATAAACCAAAATCTAGCTGAAAAAATACACTAAGCACCACGTGTCAGAGAGCTCTCCGAGTGGAGACGGCCTCCAGAGATCAGCTTCCATTTCCTTTGTTAAGGCCAGATCTGCGTACCTTGACTGTGCCTGACAAGTGTTTGTTTAAGTCTGTCCAACTCTCTCAGAAGAGTTCTATGGCTTTCTTAATACATATTTGCTGGACACTGGGTAGCCCCTACTCCAGCTGAAGCCTTTCTTGTTCCGACTACGGAAAAATAATTGCCTCCTGGGGCTTACGTATGTAACAAACTCTATCTACTGCATGACCAAATGAGATTTGCTTGGGTTTTTGGCAGCAATATGGCATTGTTGATTCACAATCTGTTTGTGATCTTCAGTAGTCCCCAGACCCTTTCCTGCAGCACTGGCCAGTCACTCCAATTTCATATTTGTTTGCATTGATTTCTCCTACTGAAGAATACTTGGTACTTGCCTATATTGAATTACACTTTGTTGATTTTGGCCCAGTTCTACAATTTGTTAAGTTTGTTTTGAATTCTTAACCCTGCTTGTGGATGTTCTTTCACCCTCTCCCAGGACAGTGTCATTCACGAAATCTGTAGTCTATCATCCAAGTCAGCAGTGAAAATACTGAATAATTCCAGACCCAGGACAATATTCCATTTGAAACACCCTCCCCGACTGACATTGAATTATTTGTCTTTTTTTTTTTTTTTTCTTTTGGTAGCTTTTGCATATACCTTATGGTGGTTTCTTTTAGATCATATTTCCCTAGTTTGTTTATGGGAATCTCCTGTAGGACAGTAGCAAATACTCTACTGAAATCAAGATAAATCACATCTGCTGCCTCCCCTTTATCCACGAAGCCATTAAGCCTGTCAAAAAAGGAAATTAGATTGGGTTGACACAATTTGTTCTTGACAAATCTATGCTGGCTGATTTTTATCACCTTATCATCTTGCAGGTGCTTATAAATTGATTGTTTAATAATTTGATGTACTTTCTTTCTGGGAAGCCAAGTTAGGCTGACAGGTCTATAATTACACAGAACCTCCATTTTTCCCTTTTTTAAGGTATTTCCATGATATGCCTGTTCCCTGCTTTCTGAGACCTCATTCAGCTTCCAAGATTCTTCAAAATATCTACTAGTGTAGATAACCTTGCATATATGCTCAGCATCTATGGAGTACACAGAGGTGTATTGGATGGTAGACCAACAATGCATAATGTACACCTTAGAGGTGCACCCAAGAGTTGGCAAAATATTCTTCAGAGCTGTGTTCAATACCTAGAAGGTAGATTTCCAAGATAAGCCCCATCACATGCAAATACACTTAAATCGTGGAATATTCACCTAATGGCTAAGCAGGCTGTTAAGAGGGGCATGGCTTGCTCTATTGAGAACCACAACTTTGAGAGCATCCCATGGCTTTCTGGCAGGTAATGGTGATTAGGGAGGTAGCTAACAGCTCCATTTCTCTTGTTGACAAGTTGCGGCACCACCTCTTGCCTTATCCCATCCCCTCCCCACCTCTGGGCACCACGTAAAGTCTGGGTTTGTTTTTTTTTTTCTGTTTTTCCTCTCCTACTTCTAGTATTCGTATGAAGGGATGGAGATTAACAGCCTGCCGGTGGAGCTGACGGTTGTGTGGAACGGGAATTTCAACATTGACAACCCAGCACAGAACAAAGGTAAAGAGTTATTTCAACTTGTCCTTGGAAGCGGTAACCTTAGCAACGGGCCACATCGCTCCCTACACTTAACAAAGCCGCCACCATCTCCCTGTGCTGTCTGGTACATACTTGTTCTCTGCACTCTGCAAATTACCAATTTTTTGTGTGCTTTATGTTCCCCCCTCCCCTTCTCTCTTTGCATCTGAGAAATATGACTCTCCCTCCCACTTGCGTTGCTTTCCTTCTTCCTTCATCATCTTTGCCTCACGCTTCTCCCCACGTTTTTGTGTCTGGTTTTTATGCCCCTGCTTCTCCAGCTTTCTCCCTCTCTTTATTTCTCCTGCAGTGATGCTCTTCAAGTTAACATGCCAGGAGATCGGGCGCTCTCTGCTCAGAGGCAATGTAGTAATGAACAGGAGAGGGGAGAGGGGGAGGAGAAAGGCTGCAGCTTGCCAGTGGGAAAAGTCTGAACAAAATAAAATAATAATGGCAAAGGATCAAAAACCACCTCCTGCCCAGAGCCTGTCTCCGTTTAACTGCTACTGATGGCACAGGATTGATGTGCCCCTTACAGAGGGATATTGCACGTCCAGCCACGACCCTGAGGCAGGCATTTTTGCTGGAGATGGACAGTCCATTCACATCGTCTTCTTCCTTCTTGTCCACCACCCTCAGCCACCCTGAAGCCTTTCCCCCAGGCAACCTCTCCTCTCGGCTGCTCTGCATTTACAACTCAGACCTGCAGACTCTGTCCTTCTCACATCGCTGCCTCTCAGAAGTTTCTCCCTCCCTTGCTTTACCTTTTCTTGGACACTTTCCACACCTACTCCCACTCCATCTCTCCCCATCAGGTACTCCCAGGCTCCTCTCACACCATTTTGCACCCACCCTCATACTGAGGGGTGGTGGGTGAGGTTTCCACCACACCATATTGAAGCTGGAGAGCAATACAGAAGGCAACTCTTCTTCCCACGGCATGACCCCTTCCTGTCCTTCTCCCCCTGTGCCCACCTCTGTGGTGTCTTTCTCTGCTGGCTTGAATAGCCAGTGGCTTTGAATAGCCAGTCTGAATGCAAAAGGTCCTGCACTGTCCTCCCCCACACTGTGGCTCTTGAAGGTTAAATCCACTCAGTAAACGCAACAGGCTGGAGACCCTTGTCTAGCCCTGGCATCCAGCAGCGTGGCACTGCCCACGTTCACACTGCCAACCTCTCTCCATGATGAAGCTGTCTGCCCTCTCTCCTGCTCTCCAAGCTGTGCCAAGGCATTGCCAGGACAGTGCTAATTTTCATGAGCCCAAACAGTGCTGTGGACTGTGCTAGCTTTTAACAGTGTGGGTTGGAGGTCGGGGTTTGGGCACTTGCCCCAGTCCTTAGTTTTCAGCTACCGTTATGGCCTTAGTGTTCCTGATGCAACATAGACCGCACCAAGAGTGTGAACCCTTCTTTGGGCAGTACTGAGCTGTCCTAGGCGAGGTAGGAGTAAAATCAATCTCATAATCATGATGATTGTGTCTTTAGGCATGTCTGTGCTGGTAACGTAAACCAGACCAGGGGGTGAATTCAAGAAACATCTGTGGTGCTCAGTCTTTAGCGCAGTCCCTTACAAGTTCTTGGGTTATTCAAAACCTATTATAAGGAATGACTAGGAAAAATTTGGGAAGTGGCACTGGCTGGTGGCTATCCCAAATGAGTAGTTTGGATGATATTATCATGTTTTGGGTCAGGAGGAGAACTTAGGCATGTGCACATGAGTATACCACATGGAGGCATACCACATGCTCTCGAGGACACAGAGAGCTTTAGTTATTAGCATAAATGTAGTGGTTACAAGCAAACACAAAACCCTGGAAGGGTTTTGGACAGTGCTGCAAACAAGCAGACCTTCTTCTCTGGAAAACTGAGAGGGAGAGGCAGAGGCAGGATTAGACCCAGTGCCTTTCTAGGTGCAGTTGCACTGGGGTACGCTGCCTTCAAGCAACCAAGATGCCACTACTTTCACAGCCAGCATCACGTGGGCTGGGCTGGTAGGCTGAAAGGCTGAACTAAACCAAGCCTACTGAAGTGCCTGCAGAGATACTCACTGATAGCATTGCAAGCAGAGCAACTCAGCAAATTTGAGGAAAACTAACAGAAAATTGAGGAAAGGGCTGTATCACAGGAGGCCTGTGTTGACAGCTGGTTTGCAAACTTTTCTTGCACCCAACCTGGAGAAATAAAAAGTTTCTGAGCTTTTCTTTGCATTGGTCAATACTTGCTGATTTCTGGGGTGCAGGTATGAAGAGACAGCCAGAGCTTTTCAGCACACGTAGCCAAAGCCTTTGAGCTTTGGGATTGTGTATAGTAATAACCACAGAGAAGACATTAGTCTTGCTACTGACACAGCAAAACAGAAGCACAAAGGAAAATCTCCCATCTTATAAAGAAATCCACCAACACGCCCACAAATACAGAAAAAAAGCAAGTCTGAAAGCCTCAATTCTGCCGTCTTCTTCTTCAGGGAGGAGACTTTTGCTGTCAGCCCCCTGTGCAACCCAGGCCTCAGTTTACACATCTGTAAAACAAGGATAAATAACGTGATCTTATTTCGTCGGAGGACTGCAATGTTTTTAGGCTTTATTTGGAAAAAGCTTTGACTGCTTCTAATCACTTGGCAGCCCAAGATGGAACTAAGCATTAATCATTGCTGTCTGTATTAAAGGAGGATCAACGTAGTACTTCAAAGTGTAAAGCAGACTGAATTTCTGGAGCAGAAGAAGGGGAAAAAGTTGATCGTGAATCCCTGGATTCAGCCTCATAGTGAACCACTGCGGATTTACTCTTATCTCTTAGGATTTCTGTTAAGGGGGAAACCTGAGTGACATTACCTTAACACCCAGTTCTGGGTAGTTTCACACCAGGCAAATCCCCAAGTTTAAGTTGTGGGTAGACCAAGTCTAGAAAATAATTTTAAGATGACGAGCTGAGGCTGAGAGTGGTTATAGGTGACACTGTATGATATTCAGTCTCTGAAAAAGGAAGGGACTGAGACCAAGTCACTGCCCAAGCACCTTTTCCCCCCAACCTCCTGCTTGCAGCCCATCACCCCACTGAGGACAGCATCCTTCCTTCTGCTCTCAGCTTCCAAAAATATCTGTCATGGGGGATGAGCTCTGACAAGTGCAGTTTATTGCAAGAAGGATGTAAAACATTTTTTCCTCATTATTTAACCCCCTGGAGAGGTCCCATCCTGCCTCTGGGACGAGCAGCCCAGAACACCTTCCCCTCTCTTCCTCCTCATTCTGCCCTTTGACATCCCACCACTCCCCCATGCTGTCTGCATCTCTCAGGTCCTCTCTGTTTTCCTCTTCCTCCAGTTCACCTGTACAAGTGCGGGGCCATGAGGGACAGCTGCGGACTGTGCCTGAAAGCAGACCCGGACTTCGAGTGCGGTTGGTGCGAGGGACAGAACCAGTGCACGCTGAAGCAGCACTGCCCAGCCCAGGACAGCCAGTGGCTGGAGTTGTCCAGCACCAAGGGCAAATGCACCAACCCCAAGATTACAGATGTAAGTCATGGATCTTCAGGAAGCTGGGGTATTCTCTCTCTACCTTTTCCTTGGTTTATTTTCCTGATTTGTATTTGAGTTGGTGAGGGGAAGGTCAGGGCTGAGCTCTGCTGGGTCAGGCAAAGCCCCAGGCAATCTTGGGGATGGGAGGCCATGGTGGCCTTCAAAGGTAGGCACACAACTTTAGGTGTCTACAACATAGGGGTGAGCAGGGTGTCAGAGTTCCCACCATAGTCAATGTGGACATGAATCAGTTGCACAAACACAGTCTGCCAGTGCAATCTGAGGAACACCAGAGCATCCGACCTGCCCACACAGAGCTGGCAGATGTGACATGAAGCCTTTAAGAGCAGCTGAAGTTGAGACAAGATGCTCTGCAGCATCTCAAATGGACAGTGTGAGGGTAATCAAATAAGCCCAACAGTCTCTTGAAACAGCCTCTCTGGCCAGCCTGGTTGAGAAAGAGATGTTAAGTGATCCCAGAGTGTTTTGAGCTTTGCTGACAGAAGGTCAAGGAAGCAGGTAGGTCGTACTTCATGCTTCCCAGCAGCATGACATGGACAAAGTCAATGTCCAGAAAAAACAAGACACCGCTAACTCCAGCAGAGTAATGCTCTGCTGTTTGCCTGGCTGACTTCGCATGGTGAGAGAAGTCCCCATAGAGCAAACAAAGCCCTGTACAATTGTCAGCTTTCCCCATTTGAAGGCTCAAGGAGGAGGCAGGATCAAGCCTGGAGTAAATGAAGCTTGGAACTGTCCTATTAAGTGATAAAGAGAGAATGAGGGCAAGGCTGGGGGGAAGGATCTGCAGCATAATGGTGTTCTTCAGAAGGTTTCCTATTGAATGTGTTGACTGGGCCAAAGGAAGAGCTGGGGCAAAGGTACAAAGGGGAGATAAGAGAGTAGGAAAACCATAGAGAGAGGGAGCAGAGAAAGGGAAAAAAGGCAAGGAAAGGAAATCAGGCCTTCACTCTAAAGTGATTTTTGTCTGCTGTCTTAGGACGCCTTTGCCATAATAATGGTTGTGGTTTAATATGAAATATTAGGTGGATTATTTTCTTAGAAAGCAAGAAAGGTTTTGTCAATTGTATTCAGTTAAGAATCAAAAAATGTGGGTGCTATGGATGAGCCCTAAATCAATGTCCATGTGTGAAAGTTTTGTGAAAGCAAAGGCTGGTTAGAATCTGGTTTTCCCGGATGCCATTGAAAGGAGCCCCTCAATCCATCTTCCTGCCATCCATCAGTCCCCAAGGTACTGACTCAGTCTTACTGCTGGAGTGCCAGGCTCATCTTGACGTTTCCAAGGTGGAGGCATCCACCACACTTGGATTTATCTGGGGCTGGTAATTTTGATCCCACCTGAACTACCTGAAGCTGTGAAATCAAACCCAGAGACAGCCAGAATGAGCAGCTACTTCTGAAAGTTCAGCTTTGAGGCCTTGAAAATTATAGGGGGCTGGATGAAACCTTTTTATGAATCTTTTCAGGTTCTCAAACCTTGGGAAAGATTCAGAAATTTTTCACAGGTTCATAGAATTTTGTATTGGGAAAGTGATGGATGATCAACTAAAGCAGAAGTTCAAAACACAAGGACCTGACCATATGGTAGTATGATGTTCTGAAGGTCCATCCACATTTCCCTGCCATGCTTTGACCCCCAACCCTGCATCTACAGTCTCTTTATGAAGTGCAAAGCACTCACTCTCCACCCTACAGCTCCAGAAGGGACGTACTTCTAATTCTGCTGGCGTTTCTTCCAACAGCTCCCAAAGCTCCAACAGATCATTGCAATATTCACTCATGAAATATTCCAACTGGCTGGTGCAATCATAAGTAGCTCTTGGAAAGTCTTTTTCTGAGCCATTAGCATGGAAGTAATCTCAAGTGACTGGATATATATTGCAGCTAATGGTAGGTCTGGAGCGGTTGGTAAGAGCATGCATATTCTGGCGAGGAGCCAGGGCAGTATCTGTGCAGGCAAAGGAGGAGAAAAAACACGTGTACTTACACTTGCACAGGCACATACACACACCCAGCACAGAGCTTCCCATAACCTGTAATTATTTACTAGCTCTTGCATTTATATTGCCACTCAGTGAAATTAAAGGACTTACAGACTCGCCGAGCCACAAAACCTCCCTTAAGAGCGACAAGCTGCAGCATTAGGCTGATATGAGCCGGGGGCATAAATTGCGATGCAGTGTCGCAGCTTCGGGTCTTCAAGAGAAAGCTGAGGCTTCCTGGCAGCTTTTGTTTCCCTGCCTGCATTTTCCTCTCCAAAACCGACAGGTCTCATTCCACATTTTTTCCACCTGTGATAGAAACAGGCTCCTTCTCTCTCGCTGTAAAAACAGCGCAGTAACACCTTCTTCTTGTACGTATCTGTGGGAGTGTGATGAGTTGGGGTTAAAAAATCTCCCACATGCTCCTGGTAGAATCCCAGACCCTCCTGTTTTAAGGAAATAAGTGGGTTTTGAAGCTGGGCTTTACAAATTAAAAATCGCACAGGAGGGGTTCAGAGGTGCTGTGCTGGCTTCACTCCGGGAAGTTTCCTGTTGATGCTTTTTGAATTATAGCAAGAATTTTTTAAAATCTCGTGCTTTAGACAGAGATGGAAGGAGGATGATAATGTTTCCACTGAGCTTTTTGTGACTTCTGCAGTGAAACTTTTGTCTCAAACTCACCCTTAGTTCTAAAGAAAAGGACTTTTCTAGCAAGATGTTCCTTCTCACCACTATACCTTCTTTTATTCAGGGTAATGATATTAGTCATAAGAGAAAAAAAATCCTCTTTTGACCGGCTATGAGATGTACTGCCCATCTTACCAAGATCTTTCAGGCATAGGTGAGCCCTAATTAACCACAGACCTAGCTTACTAGACACCTGCCTTACCAGAACAAGTAAAAACTATTTGATGGCAAGTTTAACACCACAAAACAGAACCAAAATATTCCATGGGGAACTCAGTTCTCTTACATGTGTCTAATACATAAGGAAATAAAATAAAATATGGGAATTTTAGTTGATCTTTCTTTTTTAATTTTGAGTACATATTAGATTGTATTTGGTATGTTGATATATTCTAGCCTTCCAGCATCATTCATATAGTGTTTCATCAGGAGAGGATTAACAGATGTTAGCAATGTAAGTATTTCAAACAGAAAACTTTGCTTGAATAGATATTTATTAATGATTCAGAATAAAAATATTGCAGAATTGCATTTTGGGAAAATAGTTAAAGTTTTCATTGTTGAATCCCCCACTAAGACAATCAGTATTAGTTTCTCCTGGAATAGAAATTTCGTTTTCATTCTCATTTTTTAAGGTATTTTCCTCATTTCCTGCAAAATAACCACAAATGCCTCTCTCCTTCTTTCTCTTTTTATCCGTTTTCTACTTGTCTATCAATCTCATCACCACAAAGCATCCAAAGGTCAAATCTCCAGCCAACCCAAATAATAATTTCACCTGTCAGATTTATGAATGCTATGCTATTTTCTTTTTAGGACTTAAGTATCTTGTTGACTTTTGGAGTAGGAATAAGCCTGTCATGGTTCTGATTTTGTTGGCTGAAGTGGTATTTGTCTGGTTTTTGGACTTGAGACCTGGCTGCTGCAGGGATCTCTGTGCTGCAGAAGTTGTGTCTATGCTACACAACCCTACAGGTCATCTGTGCTATTAATTTGTTAACCTCTGTTAGTTCCCTGTATAGTCAGAGCAAAGACACACTCATTCAGGAGGTGGTTCGCAGCACCTAAAATTAAATATCCTAAAATAAAATATCCCCTAAAAATGCCAGGGTCTCTTTCCTTTTATTGAAGATGGACCTTCTAAAAATTGGCCTCTGGGTGGAAATTAGGCTAACCCTAGTGCCACTGGTCAAGAGCAGCCCTCCTCATGCCAGTGCCTTGACTTTACCTGCTAGTCCGACTGCTACGCAAGGGTCTAGCTGCCAGCCCGAGATTCCCAGCTGGCAGAGCCATCGGCCGGTGGGTACAGACCTCAGACAGGGAATTCCCCCTTCCTCACTGCAGAGAGAGCCTTGCCAACGCTGGCAGATGGCAGCCATGGCATCCTGAATGGGCAGCAGGGAATACCCTTTGAAAGCAACGTTTGAAGCCCCTTTCAACTAGCCAGATGTATGGCAAAGCATTTGGGCACAGTGAATAATTGGAAGGGCAGAACTGGGATAATTAAGGGCCAGCCCCATGATTTCTGTGTTGTTTCAATATTGAGGAGGCAACTCCAATGCTAATTTCCACCTGTCTCTGAACAAGGGTGATGGATGTGGTGCAGAATGCGTACACACCCCCTTTGCATGGGCCAGAAATATTGCACAGAGATAGACAGCTCTGGGTGTAGGGTGAGGCTCTGCAACGGGAGGGAGAGGTGAGCTTTGGAGTTTGGGTGGTGCTTTGGCTCTGCTGCCCAACACAGCCGCTGCTGAGCAAGACATAGTAATCCTACCCCTGCTAGGGTCTGGTGAAGGTCCAGACTAGGATGGACCTTCATGCCATCAGTCACCAGGATGGTTGGAATAGCCACTCATCTCATGCTGGGGTTCACTTGGGTTCAGGCGCCTCCCACCCAACAAATAAGCTGTCCGTGCTTCCATGCCTGCCCTTCCCCTGGCCCCAGCTCTCCCTTGAGCGCAGCTGGAGCTCTTTCAGAAATGCGTGTTGGCACACAGCAACTGCTGCTGCTGTCTCAGTCACCGGCCACTGTCTCCGTACCTAATCTGACACGCTGTTTCTCTTGTGTCTTGGCTGGTTTTTTCAGGTGGACATTTTCATCTGAGTTTGTGATGCATGACCAATACCTACCTCCAGAACAGATCAAAAACTCCATGTGCTTTGGGCTGGGAATTTAGGATTTAAAGTGACTGGCTGAAGCCATTTGTGTCCTTTTCTTGTTCCTTCTGTTCTTTCCACCATGCGCCTCTCCTGCCTTTCCATGGCTCATGACTATGAAGTGCAGAGCTCAGCTGCACTACCAGAAACCCCTGCTCCTACCTAGAAAACATCTCCTACTCATCTCTGGATGTTTTGCAAGTAGTTAAAAGAGAGTAAATGAGATCTGGGGCAGGATTTTGTATACTTTGAGGTTGGAGCATATGTGATATATATTTGCAGAGGAGCTGGACTGAGGGATGTATCTGGAGTATGCTTGTTCCCTCAGTTGTTCAGCATTCTTAATTATGAGTGTCTCTAGTGGTCACAAAGAGACCTCATATTGCCTCTTCTTTCACCTGAGAGGATGCTGATGTCTTTACGTAGGTGGTTTGATTATTTTCTTTTTTTCTTGGCTTGTTTCTCCAGATCAATCCAGTGACAGGCCCTCGCGAAGGAGGGACCAAAGTGACCATCCGTGGGGAGAATCTGGGACTGGAGTTCAGAGATATTGTGTCTCACGTCAAAGTGGCCGGAGTGGAGTGCAAACCGCTGGTGGAAGGGTACATCCCAGCAGAGCAGTAAGTTGGGTGTGTGGCAGACAGTGGGCCACAGGACACCTGATAACAGTCATTGCTACCTGTAGGGTCTTCTAAGGAGTCCATTCCACCCAACCTTGGAAGTGAGGAACGGCAGATGCCATTCATCACTTACAGCTCAGGAGCTAATAATCCATTTATTACTGTATTTGGATTGCATATTTAGATAATCCTCATGGCATATGCCCTGAAGTTACCCTCTGTTTTTCACATAACAGCCACCACAAGGGTGTTCAATTCCAGTTTGGGGGGCAGCAGTCCTGAGAAGCAGCTTACCACGTGCAGGAGTGATCATTAAGCCCCCACAGCTGCAAAGCTGTCCACCATGCAAGGCTGGAGGACAGAGGGACCCCTGGGGTCAGACCTCAGCCCAGCATCTGTTTGTATATTTAAGTGAAGCTATGTTGATTTACACCAGCTAAGCATTTGTCCCACCAATTGCCAGCAGCCAAAAGCCACCACTCTTCTTTAAAGAATAACTTAGTCCACAGTTTGGATCCTGGATTGGAAAGAAGAGGATGGGTGAAGTCTACAGTCCATTCCCCAGCTGTATGGGCTGTTTGCTTCAATTCCATCTTACCCAGACCACCAAACCATCCCTCAAACCTTGCTTCTGGTTCATATTTTCTCCACAGGATAGTGTGTGAGATGGGGGAGGCCAAGCCCAGCCAGCATGCTGGATTCGTGGAAATCTGTGTGGCTGAGTGCAAACCAGAGTTCATGGCCAGGTCTTCACAGCTCTACTACTTTATGGTAAGCTCCTGCGAGAAGTTCTCCTTGGCCCTGAAGGTCCTCAAGCCCTGGTCCCCTGTGCTGCATCTATCCATTTTCCTTGACCATATGCAGCCTCTGAGCTCTTGACTGCTGTTCTGAGTGCACCAAGTCGTTCCTTCCATTTCCTTTCAAAATCTTGTCATGAGCAAAAATAGCTTGCCTAATTAATGTTTTAACAATCTAATAATAGTCCAAATTATTAGTCCAGTTACAGTTACAGCCATGGTCCAAATTAGTACAGAAAATCCTCATTAATAGTTAAAAATGCTATACAGGAAAGAAAAAAGAAAAGGAAAGAAAAAAGAAAAAGGAAAAAAACTTTCCTAGTATCTTACTTTTCCCGGGTGTGATGTTCACCCTACCAGCATCCCTCCAGGCCCTACAGTTGAAGGCACCAGTGTTCTCCAGAAGAAACGTGGGGGTTGCCACTAGTCATTACCACCCTGAGGTCTTCAGCAGGAGGAGGCT